TGTGTGTGTGTGTGTGAGAGAGAGAGAGTGTGTGAGAGTGTGTGCACGTGTGTGTGTGTGTGTGTGCGTGTGTGTGTGCGCGTGTATGTGTGAGAAAGAGAGTGTGAGTGTGTGTGTCTGTGTGCGAGTTGAGTTTTATATATATACACTTTTTATTTAGTTTTAAGTTTTAGTTTATTTAGTTTTAGTACTTTAATTTAAACTAAACCTATATGACAAATGTTGCCTTGGGAACTGAAATAGAATTAAGTTTTTTTTTTCTATTTCAGTTAATGTTTATTTTCTTTCAAGTAATGAAAATGTTTTTTTTTATGGTTTTGATTTTAGTCAACGATAACAACCCTGATATGCAGTTTCATGGATCTATAAATTCACACTAATTGCACTGATTAAAAAATAAATAAATAAAAACGCATCCCTTAAATGCAATGCAAGTCACTTTGCATGGAAGCATCTGCCAAATGCATGAATGCATAACTGTGAATATCTGTGTTTGCATGTTTTTAAGCTCCCTGAAAATGATGGCGTCATCCTCGTCATCCCTCGAGAGACTCACGTCTTTGGTTTGTGTCGTGGCTGATGAAGCACAAGCCTCCCTGAGCCCAGTCCTCTCTTCTGCAGAGCTCGTCTGGCCGTGTCTCTGTGCTTCTCTGCAAACACAGTTTCTGTTTCAATACAAGCAGGTTACCACACCAGTTTAGAGCAAACGAGTGATCCGAACTCGCAGTACTTACGGAGCTTGGTGTGGAAATCAGGAGCTTTGGACATGATATACGGCCCTCTCTTCTCCACCGCTTGTGGCTGGTCACTGATTTCAGCTCTCTAGTGATTAAACATTGTATTCATGGTGACAAATAAAAGGTAGATTTCACATCATACGATATTGCTATCATATAATTATTGCATTCTTAACCTATTTATACTGTCACACACACTATATACACCACAAGATTCTTAATGTTTTTAAAGGAGTATCTTCTGCTCACCAAGCCTGCATTTATTTGATCTAAAATACTGAAAAAAATGAAATATTTTTACTATTTAAAACAGCTGTTTTCTATGTGAATATCTGTTAAACTGTAATGTATTTCTGTGATGCGCAGCTGTATTTTCAGCATCATTCCTCCAGTCTTCAGTGTCACATGATCTTCAGAAATCAGTATAATATGCTGATCTGCTGCTCGAGAAACATTTCTGATTATTATCAATGTTAAAAACAGCTGAGTAGAATTTTTTCCAGGTTTCTCTGATGAATAGAAAGTTCAGAAGAACAGCATTTATCAGAAATAGAAAACTTTTGTAACATTATAAATGTCTTTATCAGTATTTAGCATCCTCGCTAAATAAAATTATTAATTTCTATAATTTCTTTCCTAAAAAAATGTATAAATAAAATATTATACTGCAAGCTTTTGAATAGTAGAGTGTATAATGTTCCAAAAACCTTTTTTTTTGACACAAAAAATTGTCACAAATCACAAATAATAAGCCAGATCAAATAAAAACCTGGTTTTTAACCTGGATTTAAAAATGGATATTGTAGGGGCAGTTCTGATTTCTGTAGGAAGATTATTCTAAAGTCTCGGCGCAGCTACGGCGAACCCCTAGACTTCAGTCTGGTTCTAGAAAGGACTTCATTTTTAGCAGGGTTCACAACTGATAGAAGCTTGACTTCACAACTTGATTGACTTGTCTATCAAGCTTTAAGGCACTGTCCAACACCACACCCAGATTTTTCACATAAGGTGCCAGAACACCAAGATTTGGTACACAGTGTGTATCCGAAGGGGTAAACAGTGACACCACAATCTCTGTTTTACTCATTCAGACTTAAATAATTTAGAGACATCCATGCTTTAGCATCCACGAGGCAGGTGGCCACCGGGTCTAATCCATTCGTATCTTTCAAAGGAATATATATTTGTGTGTCAAATGATAACTGATACCATACCTCTCAAAGATAGATCCGAGGGGAAGCATTTACAAGGAAAATAACATGGGTGCTAGAATAGAGCCTTGAGGGACCCCACAGGTCAAAGGTACAGAGGAAGAGTGAAACTTGCCAATATTAACTGAGAACCTTCTGTTCGTAAGATAAGACTGGGACCAATTTAAAGCTGAACTCTAATGCCAGAAGAACAGTGTGGTCTAGTGTCGAAAGCAGCGCTCAAGTCTAAAAGTACAAGAGCTACAGAATCTCCAGAGTCGGTAGCTAAAGTATATTTCAGTCTGGTTCTAGAAAGGACTTCATTTTTAGCAGGGTTCACAACTGATAGAAGCTTGACTTCACAACTTGATTGACTTGTCTATCAAACTTTAAGGCACTGTCCAACACCACACCCAGATTTTTCACATAAGGTGCCAGAACACCAAGATTTGGTACACAGTGTGTATCCGAAGGGGTAAACAGTGACACCACAATCTCTGTTTTACTCATTCAGACTTAAATAATTTAGAGACATCCATGCTTTAGCATCCACGAGGCAGGTGGCCACCGGGTCTAATCCATTCGTATCTTTCAAAGGAATATATATTTGTGTGTCAAATGATAACTGATACCATACCTCTCAAAGATAGATCCGAGGGGAAGCATTTACAAGGAAAATAACATGGGTGCTAGAATAGAGCCTTGAGGGACCCCACAGGTCAAAGGTACAGAGGAAGAGTGAAACTTGCCAATATTAACTGAGAACCTTCTGTTCGTAAGATAAGACTGGGACCAGTTTAAAGCTGAACTCTAATGCCCACTACCAGTTCTAAGTGGGCCAGAAGAACATTGTGGTCTAGTGTCGAAAGCAGCACTCAAGTCTAAAAGTACAAGAGCTACAGAATCTCCAGAGTCGGTAGCTAAAAGTATATCACTGAACACTTTTAAAAGAGCCGTCTCAGTGGAGTGACATTTTCTAAAGCCTGATTGAAATGCATCAAACATTTTGTAATCGACCAAGAAACTTTGTAACTTAGTTGATGAAAAACCACTTTCACTGAACTCATTGTTCAAACACGAGATTAGACTGAAACACAGATGACAGCTGCTAATAGAGTTTTCCTATAGAGTAATTCTCTTCCTGAATGCATGATCTTCATGTGCTTTAATGGAGTTTAAGAACACAACAGATGAGCTAAACATGCATGAAAATCACCTTCATCGCGGCTGAAGACAGAAGACTTCGCTGCTCTCGGCTCTCCATCGCGTCGCTCATGTCGGTGTTTCAGAAAGAAGCTTTAAACGCGAAATCATGTCTTACATCACAGTGTCGGAGCTCAGAGTTTAAACACACAGCTGTCTTCTTCGCCTGACGTCACTTCCGCGGACTGCAGGCTTTAACACACTGCTGCATCAGTGAGAGACTCACAGCTTTGGGATCAGTAAGATTTTTAATGTGTTTTAAAGAGGTCAGTAATATTGCAAAATATTATTACTGTTTAAAATAATGGTTTTCTATTTTAATATGCATTAAACTGTAATGTATTTCTGTGATGCGCAGCTGTATTTTCAGCATCATTCCTGCAGTCTTCAGTGTCACATGATCTTCAGAAATCAGTATAATATGATGATTTGTTACAGTTTTGCTGCTTTATATATATATTTTTTGGAACCCGTGATACTTTTTTTCCAGGATTATTTGATGAATGAAGTTAAAAAGAACAGCATTTATTTAAAATATAAATCTTTTCTTACAATATAAGTCTTTATTATCACTTTTTTTAATTAATTTTACACATCCTTGCTGAATAAAAGATAAAGACATTTTAAAAGAAAACAAATACTGACCCCAAACTTTTGAACAGTAGTGTATTTTTTTTTTTTTTTTACAAAAGATTAGTATTTTGAATAAATGCTGTTCTTTTTAACTTTTTATTTATGATTAAAACAAGAACAAATATCTGACAGTCGACTCAGAAAAATCTACTTATTCAAAGAATAAAAAAGAAGCTTGATTTAAGAATGTTTACATTGTTGTATTTGAAAACAAAAAAATATAGAGGAAGATTTATTTTATTTTTTTTCATTTATTGTGTTTTATTTATTTTTGCAATGCATGCATCATTTAATGCCATTACTTTATGAATTTGCATACTTTATGACTTTTTAGGCCTTTATTTGTGGAAGGGCAAATTAAGACTTAACAGAAAGCCTGCAAAATGAACATTTCTGATGATGATAATTTTTTTTTTGCTTACATTTTTTAGCATTTTAATGTAAAAAAACCCCCTAAATTCAGGGTTGCAACCTCAGTGTCGGTGTTTGCTGAATAACCGTAAAAACTCTCATCATCTCAGGACAAATCCTTCAAACACAAACGAAAACACTCATTCAGTATTGCTTCATTTATTAGGCCTTGAATATGGTACGGTGAGCAGAGAGGTAGAAAACCCCATCCGATTCACAAAAACCCTGAAACACAAACAGACGCAGATCATTATATGGCCAAAATCTGATGCATAAAAAATAGGCATAAAAACGAGTGATGCATTTGTGCATTTGAGATGAAAGGAACCTGCTTTGAGGAGTCTGTGAGCAGACTCATAGTTTATAGATGTCCAGCTCTTCTGGAGTGGAGATGCCCAGCTCCTGCAGCGTGGGTCTGAGCTCCTGGATCACATACGGATAGATCTCCTCATGAGGACCAGACTTATCCTGAGAAACATCAGAGCGTGTGCTGCATTAATGATGAAACTCTCTAATAATGAACCTTCTGCCCAGTGGACTAGCACGTTCCTTTTCAGTGTGAATGAAGATACAGCAGAAACACCTCAGCATCTTTATGCCTCTGTGATTGCACTTTTTTTAAATTAATGCATGGTCTGTGATACTTTACAGATCAATGAAAGCGTGTTTTAATTACTTGATGAATGGATTAAAGGAATAGCTCAGCCATAAATTAACATTTGCTGAAACTGTGCTCAGCCTCAGGACGTCCGTGTTTCAGCTTTTGTCTTCTCCAGATGTTAACTGATGGACTGGAGTGGTGTGGATTACTTGTGGATTATTGTGATGTTTTTATCAGCTGTTTGGACTCTCATTCTGACGGCACCCATTCACTGCAGAGCACGTGATGCAATGCTACATTTCTCCAAATCTGACGAAGAAACAATCTCGGATGAACTGAGAGTGACTAAAATGTCAGCATTTAATTTTTAGGTGAGCTGTCCCTTTAACAGAGACACAAATGAAAGCATAAACTCTTTTCTAGCTGAGCGTTTGTTTCTCTCACTTTTGAAACGAGGTCGTATCCAATCAGAGTGTTCATTCCTGGAGAGAACGAATAGAGAATCACAAACATATGTTCTCAACATTGATAATAATCAGAAATGTTTCTTGAGCAGCAAATCAGCATATTAGAATGATTTCAGAAGATCATGTGACGATCATGTGTGTGTGAAAATACAGCTTTGATCACAGAAATAAATTACAGTTTAACAGATACTCACATAGAAAACAGCTATTTTGAATTGTAAAAATATTTCAGATTTTTACTGTATTTTTTTACTGTACTGTCACCTTTGCGCAGCTCCCAGGCGTCCAGATCTGGTTTGCTGAAGTACGTGACCCAGCGGGAGTCAAACTCCTCATCGGTCTCCACTTTGGCATGAGAGTAACATCTGACAGCCAGAGGAGCTGCGAAAGAAGAGGAAAACCTGCCATAATATAATCTACACTCTTAAAAATAAAGGTGCTTCACGATGCCATAGAAGAACCTTTTTGTCTAAATGGTTCCTTAAAGAACCTTCAACATCTGAAGAACCTTTCTGTTTCACAAAAGCTCCTTTGTGGCGAAAGAAGGTTCTTCAGATTATAAAAAGGTAAGAAAGAGATGGTTCTTTAACTGAATGCTTCTTTGTGGAACCAAAAATGGTTCTTCTGTGGCATCGCTTGAAGAACCTTCTGAAGCACCTTTATTTTTAAGTGGGTACTGTATCACTCAAGGACAGCTTAAGAAGGTTACTCTGGAAATGGTTACAGATTACAAGCTACCCTATTTAAAATGTAACAAGCAGTGTAACTATTTCAGTTACTTTAATAAAGTAATGTAACTGATTACATTGGATTACTTTTCTACACTTCTAACAAATGTTTTCAACTCTTAATTATTTGTAAACATTTAAAGCAGGCAGGGTTATAACCTTACAGTAGTGCTTTCAGAATCCTTCTTCACTTTAATTAAGATTTTAATAATTTAATTTTGCAGATCGTTCTGAGGTTAAATACAGATTTAAAATCATAACAAGCAATAGTAAATATTAATACAATAAGTATTCAGATGTAACCCCCTTTGTAAGCATTAACATTTTCATAAGTAACTGTAATTTAATTAGTTTAAATTACAATTTACAATTAATTTAATTAATTTTTGTCTTAGCAACTGTAACAGATCACAGTTACATTTATTTTGTATTTAAATTATGTAACGCCGTTACATGTAACTAGTTACTCCCCAGCACCGGTATTACTGTATCTACTGTATGTATAAACAATAATTGTTGAGATGAGATGCGGGGCAAACACAAACGCACGCACAATAATCACACAAGAATCATCAAATCAGTCGAAGCTGATCGAGATTCTCAGACTGTGCTTCTGTACCTGAAGACGCTCCTGAAACCGAGCCGCTGCGATCATCCTCCTCCCGAATCACCCGAGATTATTATCATGATCATTATTATGTTTATTATTATTATAATTATAATATTTATTACTATTATGTTTATTATTATGATCATTATTATGTTTATTACTATTATAATTATTATGTTTATCATTATCATTATTATGTTTATCATTATTATTATTATGTTTATTATTATTATCATTATTATGTTTATTACTATTATGTTTATCATTATCATTATTATGTTTATTATTATTATAATTATTATATTTATCATTATTATGTTTATGTTTATTATTATTATCATTATTATGTTTATTACTATTATGTTTATTATTAGGTGTATGTTTATATTTATTATTATATTTATTATCATTATTATTATTATGTTTATTATTATTATGTTTATGTTTATTATTATTATCATTATTATGTTTATTACTATTATGTTTATTATTAGGTGTATGTTTATGTTTATTATTATATTTATTATCATTATCATTATTATGTTTATTATTATTGTATTTATTGTTATGTTAATTATTATTATTATTGTTATTATTATTTATTTTCATAATAAAGAAAAACTCAAATAAACAAATTCTGTTATTTTCTTCTTATATTTTCTGAAATATGACCGAGCTGCAAATAATCCATTGCGCTGGGTTTGAATTTAAAACACATTTAATTATGAATGCGATATTGACCTAAATTAAGTGTAAAGTATGATCTATTCAGAGTAAATTACACAAAGCAGTACTACATTTATCAAGTAAATCAGATTATCGGATTTGCCAACAATGGGAAAAAATAATATTAATGGCAGATATATAATGACAGAAAATGTTTTGGAAACGAGGAAGCTGAAATTTGACATCAGAATTTTTTTTTATCGGTATTTGGACATATGTTTCTGTATTTTAGAATAAGAAACTGTGTTGTCCTATTTAATTTTAGACTTGTACTTGAGTTCTTCCAGCACTGGATGGCAGCAGAAACTCTGTCTGCTTGCACTAGACTCAGCCACATCACTTTATTTCAGTAATCCTCCTCATAATTAAACATTATTTCTACATTATATATAGTATATTATACAGTATTGTTTATGTTTATTATTATTATCATTATTATGTTTATTACTATTATGTTTATTATTAGGTGTATGTTTATATTTATTATTATATTTATTATCATTATTATTATTATGTTTATTATTATTATGTTTATGTTTATTATTATTATCATTATTATGTTTATTACTATTATGTTTATTATTAGGTGTATGTTTATGTTTATTATTATATTTATTATCATTATCATTATTATGTTTATTATTATTGTATTTATTGTTATGTTAATTATTATTATTATTGTTATTATTATTTATTTTCATAATAAAGAAAAACTCAAATAAACAAATTCTGTTATTTTCTTCTTATATTTTCTGAAATATGACCGAGCTGCAAATAATCCATTGCGCTGGGTTTGAATTTAAAACACATTTAATTATGAATGCGATATTGACCTAAATTAAGTGTAAAGTATGATCTATTCAGAGTAAATTACACAAAGCAGTACTACATTTATCAAGTAAATCAGATTATCGGATTTGCCAACAATGGGAAAAAATAATATTAATGGCAGATATATAATGACAGAAAATGTTTTGGAAACGAGGAAGCTGAA